GCACACGTTTGGTCAAAGGATCGGCTTCACTTGTCTCTTTTACGAGTTGTAATATGGTGCTACGAATGGCAGAACTTACTGACGATGGCGACTACGATGCCGGCGAAACGTCTGGGAATGTACCATGTCCACGGTCCTACTCTGCAAATGATTATGCATACAATGGACTCCGGACAACGTGTGTTCCTCTAAGTCTTCCTACCAATATGACCGAGTTGCAAAAACAAAGTCAAACAACTTCTATCTTTCATATTGTTTATCAAATTAGAATTTACCATATTACTTAATTTAAGTCAAATTTGCCAACTGGCTATAACTTAACTAAATTTCAATGTTCATTTTTAATTCTCTTTTCTAACTTATGATTTTCAGCTTTTTTTGTTTTCGATTCATTTTACTCCAATATTCAACTAGGAGAGATGATATAAATTCACCAGGACTGAGACAAAGGCTCATACCGCAAGTAAAAACAAAGCACCGACTAGCATCAATTAAATTAACTCCCATTTCATCTAGTTTGGTCGAAACTCAGATGCGGAATAATTGTAAGCTCTTAGTGTTGCACCGATTTTTTATTTGTCCATATCCCAATTTTATTGAATGAGCTGATACTATGGCTAATTAAACAAAACATGCATGGTGTTGGTTCGACCTCGTTTTAGCAACTTGATCAAGGCGTCAGAGACACCTTGTGAAGGCAATTATGCTCCTTGACCAACTTTCTGTTCAAACGTTTATCATTTATGACCTTTTCTGATGGCTTAAGAGCTTCGTTTGACCATTTGAAGAGATTCAAAACAAAGAATTTGAAATACTTTTTAGCTAAATAAGGTATATTTAAATATTAGAAATCACTTAGTTAAGGGGAAAGAATGACATTTTTCTATTCTTACTTAACGGTACTAAACCGATCTAGTGAGCAAACATTTTGTACGTAGTCATATATATAATAAAGGAGACGTAAGACTTCGCTAGAATTTTCATTAGATCTTTTCTAGTGTATAGTTTAGAAGTGAAAATGCCATAAAGATCTCGTAATTAGGCTGATATTTTATGGAGTTTTTAGACAAGGCACAACTAGCAACGATTAAAAGGAGATGTAATCTTATCAATGCCTTACACCATAAGAGGAATGTTTACAAAGAGCCCTATACCGAAGTTACATACTTATTAATATTGGTATGGGAAATTAAAGACACTCCAACATCATTCTATTGAGGGATTCTTCGAAGCCAAGTTTTTCTGCATACTTATTTAAATTCAGAGGCACAAGCCTTATTTAAAATCCGTTGTATGAATAATAGAAATGTTAACGTTCTAACCGCAAATGGCTTTTCATCTGGAACGCCAGTGTTGCTGTAGGGTTTATGTACCTCACTGGTTCACAAAACATTGCATAAACTTCATGTTATAATTAGCAGCATCGTGAATGCTGATGGAATTCGGCTATGGCCCAAGCTGAATTCCTCTTAGTAAGGAAGTGTAATTG